GCTTTGTATTAGGCACATTAGTGTCTTGTTTAAAACTTACCACTCTAGAGAGAAAATAAACTAAAATAGCAGAATGTTGTTGTAATATAATTATGAAGTCTCTTTGTAGGCTGTCTTCTTTTCTTTGGTTACTTTGTGGCTAGGATTTTAAAATGTTAGGAGAGGGAAAGCAAAGAAAATAGGCATTGAGCATTGATATTAAAATAAATGCTTGCCTTAGCAAATCTTATATTATAATAAAAATACATGCCAGGGATACTTTAGCCAGATCAAGTATTTTCTTCCTGAATATTTTGTCTTTATTGAGGAATCTTAATGTCTTGGATATAAAATCATATTGTCATATACAATTAAGAGCTGGATACGTCAATGGGTGCTTCATGATTCCTAGGCAGAAAGATGGGGAATGAGTATCCTTTCTTTATGTATGTATACTGTGTTCTGTTGGAATAGCTGAGCTATTCTTTCAATACAAACGACCTCGTCGTGGGTGTTCTAACTTCTTCTTTAGAGATATCTTGCAATAAAGGCACCTGCTATGTTCCAGCTATTCCAGTTACACATGCAGCTATCAAGCGTGTATCTCTATCTTTGGAAACAGGCTTTTCTGGAAATGTTTTGTTTCTTCTCAATTATTCCTGTGTGCTTTTTTTGGATGTTATAAACTGATGTGTGGTGAGAAGTCTTTTTGTTACTGCCTAGGGAATGTCTCTTTCTATGCTGTCTCATGGCACTAACTTCGTCTGCAGAGCTACTGTGCAGGCAGGGGGGTGTGTGTTTACAAAAGCAATGCTGGCTAACTCAGTTGTACAAACTAACAGGAATAAAACTATGGGTTTTTGGAGTCTAATGCATCAGTTTTGGATATTCAGCTTTAAACAGATGTTATAATCAAACCAATTGAAAATGCATGCTTTCTTAATCCTATCTTAAGAAGGAAATGCTGTCTTGTTTTACATAGCTCTAATGGCAGTGGCTGAAAAGTGAAGGTGGGTAAGCTTGTTGGGAAGTCCAGAGAAAGAAAGGTTCTGTCACCTGTTTTCAGTGTTGTGGTTTAACCCCAGCCAGCAACTTAGCATCACACCACTACTCACTCACTCTTCCCTGGTGGGATGGGGGAAGAGAATTGGAAGAGTAAAAATGAGAAAACTGGTGGGTTGAGATAAAGACAGTTTAATAGGTAAAGCAAAAGCTGCACAATCAAAGCAAAACAAGGAATTCATTTGCTACTTCCCATCAGCAGGCAGGTGTTCAGCTGTCTCCAGGAAAGCAGGGCTCTACCATGTTGCTTGGGAAGACAAACGCTCTAACTCTGAACGTCTCCCTCTTCCTTCTTCCCCCAGCTTTATATGCTGAGCATGGCATCATATGGTGTGGAATAGCCCTTTGGCCAGCTGTCCCGGCTGTGTCCCCTCCCAGCTTCTTGCCCACTCCCAGCCTCCTTGCTGGCAGGGCAGTATGAGAAGCTGAAAAGTCCTTGACTTAGTGTAAGCACTGCGTAGCAACAACCAAAACATCAGTGTTATATCAACATTATTCTCATACTAAATCCAAAACACAGTGCTATACCAGCTACTAGGAAGAAAATTAACTCTATCCCAGCTGAAACCAGGACACAGTGACATAAGACCTCAAGAAATGATCAGAAAAGACCAGCAAGTAGCTGTACCTTATTATCTGTGATAAACGATTGTCAGAACATTTGTCTCTTAACCAAGTGTTTTGAGTGGTTTTATTTAGCTTCCTCCCACACAGGTCAGTTATCCTAGCAATTGTAAACTGAGCACATGAACTATCACTTTAGATTATGTTTTCGTCTCACAAGAGGCAAAACAGTACAGGTGTCCAGATATGAGCATCAGAAGATAAGCACATGCGTACCTCAGCTTTGAGGAATCCTGGAAGTAACTATTTTGCTCAGTATTATGGGTGTCCGCTATGTAGAAGGGTTTTTTCCTTTGTATCTTGCTGCTGGATTTCTTCAGTGTTAGGTCAACTCATAAACAGTTTCAAGACCAAATACCATTGATTTAGGGGAAAGTGGGAGGAATGCTGTGGATTTCCATAGAACTTTTTCCTGTCTGGTGGTAGACTTGTTCAGGAAGCTGTGAGCAAGTTAGGAGAAGGCAAAGCTTGTCTGTCAGCTCTTAAAACTGGCAGATTCAGTGGCAAGTGCTAGTATTTTCAAGCCATTGTCTGGTGTCAGATGCAACTTCAGACATTGTCTGGTTTTGTGTGTTAGTAATTACTTGTGTCAAATAATGGATTGCTATTCCTTAGTGAGCTAACATATAGGACAAAGTTGGGGGGAATAGTTTGATAGCTAGTAGTATATTAAGTAGCTCTTCATGTAATTACTATCAGATTTCAACATGGCATTATCTTTCATAGGACTTTATTAGCATCGTGGTTGTCAAGCTCGGGGTGAATTTAGTACAGTGTACGTGAGCTTCAGTCCTGAAGCTAATTCATGACTGTCAACTTCCAGTAATATGTTACCTTCCAAACTGTGCCACCAAGAATTACTAGCTTGGGAGCTGGAAGTGCTGACTGTGTCCTTCCTTTTCCTTTTTCAGTCCCACCGCTGGTTTGTTTTTCAGTGGCTTCTCCATGAACTTGTGGTTCTAGTAGCACAGGACAACACTCTGGCAGTATTGAATAAAACATGAAACTCAGTATCTGGCCTGATAAAGCATACACCCTTTCTTCAGATTTTGTGTCCTTTCTTGACATGAAGGTAGTGGTATAATGTATTTACAAACATCTGTTCGAAGATAAGAGTCTTATTACCAATTAAAGACTTATTTTATAAACAAATCCTTTTTATGCATGTTTGAGAATATTATTGTTGTGCAATACCGTCAAAAGCAAAGAAACTGTTATTGTATTGTGTAGTGTTGGCTGCAGTATGGCTCTTGGGTAACTCAAATACAGTTTCTGAGCTAGGGTTACATCATATGGCTAGCAGTTGTGCTTATGCTGGAATGTGAACTCCCGGGTAGCATGAACCCACAGCTGCAAAGGGAAGCAGGACACAAGGGCTGCTGAAAAAGAAGTCTCCAGGTTGCTCTGGGAATACAGCTGCGTTTCCGGCCCTGTTCTGCAATTACAATGGGATTCTTGAGAAGCTGTTGTATTCACAGGGTGGGGATATGATATCCCTTTTGCTGTCCAAGATGAGATGTGTGTTTTATGGCTGCAAGCTGCAGAAGTACCTGACCCTGTGGCACCCCAAGTCCCTGACCCTGGGGCCCCCGGATTAGGGAAAGGCTGGCCAAGCCTGCAACAATTACAGTAATCCAGATACTGCTTGTTCAGTGCAACTACATAATTGAAATTTCATCCTGTTTCTGAGTATTAAGTAAATGCAAGATCTTCACCCAAAGAACCAGCTTGATGTCATTTTCCTCTGCTTAAGCTAATTGGGTGAAAATAGGTCCTTTCCTCACTGCCCTTGCTTTAGTGGTCCTTAGCTGTGCAAACCAGCTTGAAGGGCGTTCCCAAATTCAAAGTTGGGACTGAGCTGTCCTAAAGAAATGTCGTGAAAGGAGCTTAAGCCTGTGAATGAAAAGATAAGTCACTGATTATATAGTCAAATTGGACTACTGCAAACTGAGCTATTAGAGGCCTTGTATAAGAATGTCTGATATTTTTTTTTTTTTAAATCATGGCAAAAACTAGCTTGTGTTGACAGTTATGTATAAAAACCTCCTAGAGCCATAGTCTTACGCTGAGGAGGTATGTTAGGTGCTAAAGACCAGACCTGCTGAAGCATTCCCTAAATCCTGAAGTACTTCAGCTGTAATGATTAGGTGTCTTGATTTCAACTTGCCCTCAGAGGTATGCACACTTCCTGCAGAGCTGTGAACAGCGTCCATTCTCTAGCTAACAGCTGGGTGAATCTGTGTGAATTTGCCCTTCTAGGAGCAGTTACTAATGTTATGTCTTCTAAAATACTGATCTTGTAGGGAAAAATGGAATGTAGTTTGTTAGTCAAGCAGGACATTTGGGGTCATCTCAATAGATAATGTGAACTTAATTGGAAGCTACTCATGTGAAAGAGCAAGGATTAATCTAAAGTTAAGGGGGAAATGCATTAAAAAAAATCCTCTTATTGTTCAGCTTATGTACTATTTCATTAAATTCTCATGTAGCCTGGGAGCTCTGTTTTCCCATTGCTAGGAGTGCCAGGTTTATTACCATTCCTCCAACAAAAATGCAGATTCTTAGCTCTGAAAAACCTGGCTCTGATAAGGATACATTCATTGATGGGCTTGCTTTTTCCTCTTGTCTCTTCATGCAAAAATATATCTCCTGTTTACAGCAAAAGTTAAATCACAGTGTGTTGGGAGGACTTCAGTTATGAAAATGTTGATCCTATCTTTATTATGAGAAAGGTGGATTTGAAAATCTTTGCTAAAGTTGCAGACATACCATTTAAAACTTTTGCAGATCCTTTTGCATTTGAGGGATTCGCCATACGATAAGAACAGCTATTTCTAGAGTGTTACTGGAATCATTTTAGGTGGTGCGTGGTCTGTGAAAGTGTTTCCCCTTCTTCTGACTGTCTGTTGAAATCCCTCAAAGAGAAGGGGAAGAACACTTAAAGCTTATGCTAGTAACTTAAATGCCTTAATGAATTTCTTTTTGGATTACTGGGTAAACCAATGTGCTTTTCCAACATGGAGAAGCTTTTCATTTAAGACTTTGTTTCCTGATTTTTACCTTAAACTAACAATAGATAGAATTTTCCAAAAATTTTTAGGAAGCCAAGTCCTGGAAAGGAAACTATTTCACATGCTAATTGTTCCTGCATTTCACTTAGCTCCTCAGTTGTGTTATATCAGCTGAATAATTCTTTTAGTTCCTTCTAGTCCTAACCAGGCATTGTACTAAGCAGAATAAAATTGGTAGGCTTTCATTCTTTGAACTATCTTCTAGTTTCAGCTCAAAATACTGAAAAAGGATAATTCCGATGCTTAACTGATATCTCTTATTACAGATTCTCTTTTAACGTGATTACTTACAAGTAATAGTTCCTCATCATGGCTGAACTATCACCTGAAGAAATTCAGCTGAGGGCCAACCAGGTCACTGATGAGGTAAATATTATAGGAAGCCATCTGGGATTACAGTACTTATCTGCCAAGATTACAATATCTTTTAAAAATAAAGACAGTCTAGGGTAGTGATTCTGCAAGGTTCTAGATGAATGTTTCAAGCTCTCACTTTACATGGGAAATATTGGAATGAAGACTAGTCCTACAAGTAAGAATGAATTTAAACTTCTGAATTGTAAAGCCCTACCTACTTGACTGAGTACTGATCACCCAGTCCTGATTACTGAGACAATGCAGGCTGGGTACCTATACTAATCTTAATCATGATGATACTTCATGACTCTTTTTATTTAACTAAAATTCATTTGAATATATTTTCTTTTGTAATGACTTTCCAATGGGATAAGCAAAGTATAGCAAGTACTAAAACCCAGGAGTTTACTAGCTACTGAAAAAAACTCCAGTATGCTGCCACTATGTGTTATAGTGTGTATTACATATAGACAGGCTGATGAACCTATGTGTACTAGTTGCCTTACTGCAATGAAGTGGTAAAGACGACTTTCAAACACTGATATATAATGTTAACGCACTCATCTTAAAATTTTCTTTCTAGTCATTGGAAAGCACAAGGAGGATTCTTGGCTTGGCCATTGAGGTAAGGAAAAGCTTTTGAATTCCTTGGGGACTTAGTAATTTAAGTATAAGCAGCAGCATGTTAACTATCACAAAGTGATCTTAATCGCTTTTGTGTCTTTCTCAAACTTTTTTTGAGACATGCTTCATTATTAGAAGTTACTGCTTTAATTCAGTAGTAGAGTTGGAATGACTTAAACCTAATGTTTTTCACATTATGTAAATTCAGATCACAGAAGGATCAATATCCTTTTTACCCGTCTTCCTCTTAAGCAAAAAGGCCTAATCTCCAAATGCTACAGATCAGTTATAAAAAGTCTTCTGTGATGGTCAGTTATGGCTTTGGCTGCTGCATTACTTGCTTCTTAACATCTTCTGTTTGTCTTTTAGCTCACTTTGCCTGTGAATAGTGTGAAAATGTCTTGCTTTGAAGAGGAGGGTAGGGCTCAGTTGGGTGGGGTAGTAGAGGGTAGGGCTGCTTTGGGTTCTAAACAAAAGTAGTTCTACATACACGTTCTTACAATCTGTTCATCAGTTTTAACTTTAAAGGTAGTTAAGTATGATGAAACTCTTAACACCCTTGTACATGACTTGAAACAAATTTTGGGTTTATCTAGGTGACATTATATGAGGGATCTGTTCCTCTACACTGTTACGCTTGCATGCCCCATTGTAAAAAAATGGCTGAAAAATTACTTTTGATACTGTAGTTTCAAAAAAATATAGAGCATCCTGTTGGTAGGGAGTAAGATAAGATGGCTGATAGTCAGCTCTGGCAGACTTAACAAAGCTTAACTGGTTCAGCAAGACACTTTTGCTAGTACTTGGGTATGCCATAGACAAATGGGAATCCAGAGACTAAGCAGTAATGCCTTTCAAAGCTAATGCCCAGACTTTTAGTGCTGAAAGCTTGAGACAATTTGTCAGTGTGAGAACACTAAAAAATAATCCAACGAATAAGGACCCTAAAGTGTCACTACTGCTTTAGAGCCTATATTCACTGTCCAGACAGTAGCAGGCTGCTGTGGAACTGTCAACCCTATTGAAGAGTGTGAGGATAAAGAATGAACTAAATGCCATTTTTCAAAACAATGCACAACTAGGTTTACTTTTTTTAGCTTGACATTGTCACAGTATAATCTGAGTATTACAATGAATTTTATCATCCTGTTGTAATGTAAAAAAAACTCACAAAAAACCCACTAATTGAGATAGTGTAACAGGTGAGATTATTATCAGCCTAACATGGGATCTAGTTTGAAATTTAGCATAGCTTTACTACAGAAGTTATTCCTAGCACAGTGTTTTATTATGAACTTGATTGGCTTATCAAATTTACTATAGAGACCTTCTGATTTTGCACTGCTGTGTTGAAATCTGTTGTTATATCTGCAAATAAAATTCCTTCTGCAGTCCCAGGATGTCGGCATCAAAACTATCACCATGCTGGATGAACAGGGAGGTGAGTTCTTCTTCCTTCTCTAACACTAAAAATCAATTTTATGACTGTAAGAAAAAGGATTATCATTCAAGAATTGTTGCTGAAACTAAAAGCTTATTAAAGACTACTTATGTGAAAATGAGATTTGCTAATTGGTTATTCCCTTGTGTTTGTAGTATTTAAAAGATGTTTTAAAGTAGTGGAGAGACCATCTAGGTTACACTGTAATACAGCCTCTGCTACAGAAGCTGTTCCTTTCCACCATAGCATGAATTCTAAAAGCAGCAACAGAAGTGCTGCTCTAAGGATAGGGAAAATATTTTTAATGTAGTAAACAAAACTTTTATCTATCTTAAAATTAAAAAAAAAAAAAATCCCAGAAAGCAGGAAAGAAAAAAGGCATTAGTCTTGGTATAAAGATAGAACTGAAACTTTTAAGTTCCTGCTTGAAAAAAATGTTAATATCCCACTCCCACCTTCCCCCAATCCATGTTTATTCAGGTTACTTGTTTCTCTTCTAGAACAACTAAATCGCATAGAAGAAGGCATGGACCAGATAAATAAGGATATGAGAGAAGCTGAGAAGACACTGACAGAGCTCAACAAATGTTGCGGGCTCTGTGTCTGTCCTTGTAACAGGTCAGTTAAATTGGTACTTGGGTCTGAAGTTCTAGAATATTCCCAATGGCTACTGTACTGGGAGATGGTCTCTAATAAAAGAGCTAAATAAAAAATGCTGAATCTCTAGGAAAGTCGACTGTCTTGGTTTGTAGAGGTGCACCCTTTTAAAATTGTATGAGAGTAGCTAAGGCCTACTAATGCATCTAACCACATATTGTGCCCTTTTCACTGTATAACATCCTGCACAATTGTGCTCTAATCTCCTTAAAGCTTGTATTTAGTAGAATACTATCAATGTCCATACAGATGAGAACAAATTGGACTGCAAATAGCTATATGTAAGTGCCTGTCTGTTAGAAATTTGACTCCAAAAATATTTTTTTCCACAGAAGTACTTTTGTACTAACTTAAAGGCAAGAAAACTTCTGTTTTGGAGAGGGAAAGTAATATTGGCACTCTAGGCATTTAAAAAATGTTCATGCTTTAGGGAGGAAGAGAGTAGGAGAACAGACATTGGTGTTAAAGCTTTAATATTTCACTAGTGACTACATAAATTCTCGCAGACCTGCTTCACAGTACCTTTATAACATCAGTGTTATGGCTACTATCTCCAAGTCAGTCAAGAGTAACCTCATCTTTTGTATGGCACTTAATTTGTACTTCTAAACACCTAAATAGCCTAAACAATGATCAGAAATCAGTATTATAAGGAAAACAATATGTATTTTTTGGAGGTGTGCTAGCTTTAGCTTTAAGCAGCAAAGTATCAAATTGGTTTGTGTGAATTGGATGTGATCATAGTTCTTCCAAGTGAAGAAGTAAGTTATTTTAAGTGTGTGACCACTGAAGCGAACACTGTGTGTTTGTTCACTTTTAGTTGTTTAGCATGAGCAAAAAAAAAAACCTCATTCAACTGAGAGGTAGCAGAAATACAGGTAAAAATTCCTTGGAGTAGCTGAGTCTGCTTATCCAACAGACTAATACTTTGAGGATCATTTAGGATAGATATGAACGTGGCTTCTAAGGCTGAAAGTCTTAGAGTTTTAGTACCTTGAAGAGGCAGATAGTTCTGTCCTGATTTCTGGATAGGTGTGCTTACTGCTTTTTATTAGTTTTACCAAGCTGATGGGCTTTGAGCATTTTGCCACACTCAGTCTTTGTTTTCCATAGTTGACAGTCTTATTTCACCAAAGCTAAGCAGCTTATTGACACTGAGCAAGCTCAGAATTTGTGAACTCCTGTGGCACTCCAAATACACAGATAACAAAGAAATAATGAGTTGTGTACCAATTAATGAGTTGTGTACCAAAATGGGTAGTAATGTGCAGAAAAATCTACTAGATAAGTAGAGGGCAATGAAGAAGCTGTGAATGACTTTCATATATCTATTGTACATCAATTTTTCTGTCAATGTGAGTTATTTGTAAACCAGTTATCTCCAAAGCTTTTCATTTTTTTTCATAAAGTTAAATCAGAACACTTACTGAATTAAATATTGCTTTTCTCATTTCTCCTGGGCTTAGATTATTTATAACAGCTTTGTGAAAACACAAAATACTGGCAGTACTCTAATAAAATCTGTGTACTAATAACAATTTACCTGTTGTTTGGTCTTTACTATTCTTTCTTCTCCATTTTCTCCTAACACTGATGCTTGCTTTCTAAAAATGAAGACTAGGATAAGAAGCTGTATTCACTTAACTGGTGAAAGCGGATTTTAGGACAAGGTCAGTCTTATTAGTGAAGATGTACATTTAACCAGCTGTCTGAAGTGATGCTTCTATTGCGTTTGTGCTTGCACTGCATGATGTCTGCATGCAGGTCTCCTTGTGACTGTGGTGTGCTGTAATATTCATGTGAATAGAAAATGTCAATTACTATAGAGTGTATTAGCTGTGGAAATGTGAACAACTGCTTGAGCCCTTGCTGGTTTGACAGGTTGTATGAATTGCCTTGCTCTTACAGAAATGAAACATGAGAAAAGTGAATGTATAGTCATTTGAAAAATATCTCTTAAAATTAGGTGGTGAGAAGCTTTGTTCTTAACTGTGCTTAGTTTGAGCAATAATTCTGTTTCTAGCTGTCTGCTTCAGATGTGCAAGTAGTTTTCGGGCCACTTGTTTTTGTTCAATAAATTCCTCACCGTTACCTCTGGCACTTAAGACTTTGCTATTCCAGAAGCCAAGCATACAAAGCTCTCCTGCTGTTGCAGCTTTAGTATGAATGAGATTAAAATATAATGCTCAATCTAGTTGCGGTACGCTTAGATCTTTAAGCCTGTGTATGCACAAGGAGCTAGAATTGACTAGTTTAGGTTTCTTTAGGGTTCTGCTGGATGGAACAGTTCGGTTATGAATGGAAATATTATTTCATTTCTTCCCCTTGATGTATTCATACTAGATTACTTTTCATAGGATCTGACCCATGACATCCAATTTCTCATTTCAATTACATAAATGCCAGAAGAAGGAGGGGAATATTTCTTCATTACAGCTAATTTCACACCTCTTCCAATGTGAAACATCTGGGCTACTGAAAGGCACTAAAGATAAAGAAATTGATCACCTGTAACTGTAAAGTTAGATGTACTGAAAGACAGTACAGATTTCCCTTCACAGGCTTTTAAAGAAGCAGAAAAGTGGCAGTGGAGTCTGGATTATCTAGCTTAAACCTGAAAATGCCAGCAAACACGGTGAACATGAGAATATTCTTCTCAACATATATTCTTTAGGGTTCACGAGAACTGATGCCAATTCAGATCAGTTATTTTTCTGTTATATCTTCTTCCCCTCTTGCTTTTGTGGGTCTGTGATCCTTGAGATTGCTTCATGCCAGTGTGCTTTCTTTAATTTTTTTTTTTCTCTTCTGAATTATGCAGTAATAGTGTCATGGCAAGTTGGTTTGTTGCTTTAATGGAGTTAATACAATTGAATTGCAGAATGAAGGAGTTGTTTAAACATGATTACTGTTATTTCATAATCAAAATTAACCTGAGAAACATTAACTTTAAAACTAATGACTTGGCAACAGAAGATGTTTGACAAAAAACAGTAGAGATTAATGGTTTTCTTGCATAGTGTAGCTACTTGTATTTGAGGGAGTTTTTTCCTTCATCCCCATTTCTTCCCGGAAAAGTAACTGATCCTGACTCTAGACTAACTCCTGTTGCAAACGCAACTTTATCTTACGACAGTGTAAGCTTTCCTGTTACTGTCATAAGCTTCCCCTCTTCTGGTAAAGTATATTTAAGGAAATTACTGTGTTTGTATTAAAGCTTAAGACCACATCAATCACTGTCCTTAGAGTAACCCAGTTATGTTTGTACTATCCCAAAATAAGAAATTTTATCGTATAGACAAGGCTCTGTCTATACAAAAATCTAATCTTTCAGGCACAAGACAAATGTTTCTGAAAATCCTAGATTAATACAGAACTTCAGTCAGGAAGCCGTATTTCTGACGTAGCAGTTCAGATTTCTTATTTTTACGGAGTAGGACGAAGAACTTCGAGGCTAGCAAGGCATACAGAGCAACCTGGGGAGATGGAACGGAGAACTCGGCAGATCATGTGATATCCATGCAACCAAGAAGTATAAATCAGCGGCAGCCTCCGACTTCTGGAGGACCAAGTGGCGGATATATTACAAGGTTTGCTTCTTCATGTTTCTTAATCACAAATGCAGAAATCCTAAGTTACCAGTTGTCAGCTTCTTTCAGATGCATTTTCGGTGAAGTTGCTAAATAGTAGATTTTTTACTACTGCTTGGAGGAATTGTTACTGCTTGGAGAGGAGATAGCAGACACCTATGCTTTCAGTATTGTAGTGCTGATCTTACGCTTTCATTTTTTTCATAGTGGTGGTATTATAGTCCTCACATCCAGAAACAGACTGATAGAGCTTAGTGCTCAGTTATTGAGGGGACTTAAAAATATCAAGGACTTCTATTGTCATAAAGTATATTTGAGACAAATTCATGTCTTAAACTTCCTCTGGTAGCTATTATTTTAAATTCTAAGGCTATGTTTGTAATAGCAGCTAGCTTAGCACCCTTTTTTGGTGGGCTGCTTGCTTGGAATACATGGGGTTTTAAAAGGGGAAGAACATACCTTGGCTTGAATACATTGCACAGTTATCTGACAGGCAACAAACACTTTCTGTTGAAGTAAATTTAGGGTAGGGAAGAGCAAGTTCTTGATTCTTGGAAACACTGTCTTAATTATTTGAACAGGATAACAAATGATGCCAGAGAAGATGAAATGGATGAAAATCTTGCTCAAGTGGGAAACATTCTTGGGAATTTGAAAAACATGGCTTTGGATATGGGCAATGAGATTGATGCCCAGAATAAACAAATAGACCGCATAAATGTAAAGGTAAGTGCCAAAGGTGTTCTCTGCCTTCAGCTTAAAGATTCTTACTGAGAAGTTGTAAGGGATGGGCTCACTATCCTATCTACCTGTATTTGCAGTAAATGTGCATTAAGGTTATATCATCCTCTAGGTTGCAGTGATTTGAACAAGAGAGATATCTTGGTGTTTGGGTATTTAGCTGAAAATTCAAATGCTTCAGAGTGTCAGGAAATGTAAAAATACAGCACAGGTCACTGCTTACTCTGAAAACAACTAAATTGGATTGGATCAAAAGGGCAAACATTTACTGGAGGTATAACTGGGGGATTGTTGCTCACAGGGAATCTTGTATCTGGTAGGGAACAGGTATTTTTAACAATAGCAAGATTCTTTTGGAATTCCTAAAAAGTCACTATAATTGTTGAGTATAAAATAAACCACAAGTAGTTCATTGCCCTAATTCTTGTGGACAGGTTAATATTGGGGCTGGAGAGACTTTGGAATAATAGGTTTTTGTGGGTGCATGGGGACATGGTCTGCCCTCATCTGCATGTGAAGTTAGTCATAGCCAGTAGTATCTTTTCCTTTTTTTCTTTAAAGATTAACTTCGCAAAACAGATTAATCATATGTTTGGGGGTGTTTCTTTCAGACGGCAACTTATGAGGAAGTTAGTAATAATTTAGAAATCCCCATATTCTGAAATGAATAGAAGTTCTTTTACAGGCATCCTGGTTAAAAAATGGAAATTAAAGCTTTAATGAATAGTGTCTATTAAAGATTTTTAAAAAGCAGAAGTGGACACAATTGCTGTAAAATTCTAAAATTAAGAGAAAAAGGGAAGTTAAAGATATCGCTGAAATGCCCAGTTACGGTTAAAAGCAGGAGGAGTGGAATTTTCTCAAATATACAGAGCTAGTCTGACATAAATGCTGGCTGTACCTACGTCACCATGATCTTATGGAGAATGCCTTAATCGTCTTTCACTGTTCCCTGAAACTGCAGAGCTGAGGTGATTATCAAGTAAAAGAACTCGAATGTTTTAAAGAACACTAGAAAAGTTAATTGTAGTTTAAAACGAGGTGTGAAATTCTTACAGCTTATAAAGTGGACTGAAAATTGCCTGGTCAAATTAACCGCAAGTGGGAATTACTGTTTTTAGCAGTAGTGTTTCTGGTAGTTTCAAGCACCTGTTTTGGCCTGATGCTCTTTCATTTCAGTGGTCTGAATAAATCTTGCTGATCAATTCTTACTAACTATTGAAATATGATGTAAACAAGTTAGAATTGCTTTACAAAACAGCAATAAAAATGAAAGTGCGATTCCTGGCTTTGAGACTGGCAATGTGTCTGAGGATATTTAAATTGATCCTTTTCTGCTGATAACTGTTAGTGAACAGTGTGGAAACCAAATCAAAATGTTGAGGGTAAATCTCCAAAGGACAGAACCATATAAAGAAACAAAGAGCAGTATTAAGCTTAACTTCAGAATAGACTTTATATATATATTTTTATATATATATTTTTATATTTTTTTTCCAACTGTCCTGGGAAATATCTAGGCTTGACTGGGTGACTTTTGGTAGCCTGCAGCGTTATGCAGGACTCCTAGTCTGAATAAACCCCTAATAAAAGCTTATGTTACTGGCTTTTTCTTAGAAGATGGTATGGTAGCTAGATCGATGTGTTTCCAAAGTGCTGTTAACAGCTTAGATTCTCACTTTTCTATAGAAGATTCCTGACCCTCCCCAACCCTTGACCCGAAGGGCAGGAAGGAAAGAACAGGAAGGAAGGGCTTGAATTGTCAATGTCCTCTTCCCAGCCCATTGCAGCATGAAGGTGTGAAATGGCTAATATTTGGCACAGGTAGAGCTTCTCAGGAGTTCCATTCCTCACGGTGAGGGCAGAGGCTAGTTTTGTGCTTATTACCCCTCCTGCTCATTCTCCACTGCAGGCTGGATAATAGGGAATTATTTCAAAGCTCCTTATCATAGCTTTCAGTAAAACTATTTTGACACTTGTTCAGCCTATATGCTGTAGCTGGTTTTTGATGCTTTATAATAGTACAACAATTATAAAAAAAATAAAGTGCTTTTCTTGCAGATACCATACTATTATGACACTAGGACACTGGAGGGTGTGTGGATGAAAACCAGGGATTTGCACGAAGCTAAATAATTCGGACTTTATGCCCATAGGTCACTTCCAGTTTTGATTATTACTTCTAGTCCATAGCAACAAAGTTGCTCTTAGAGGTCCTTAAGATGTCTAAATGCTTGGAGAGAGGGAATTTTTATCCCCTTGTTCTGTTACTGTTCTTCCTGACTTGCTGAAGCAAGCTGCTGTGTGTTTTGAGGGTCAGCTAAAAACTATTTCTCCTGATTCTGTTTCTGCCAAAATTGACAGCCTACTATGCCTGCTGAAAAAAAATATTTTACTTCTAGCTTATAAAAGTTGCTCCCTTTCTGTCTACCACAATGGTAATACCCTGCAATTCAGAAGTTCATGTCAGTTTGAATTTTTAAATTGTTTTGCATGAAGTCTGCAAATGACCTATGAATTTGTCTCTTTCAGGCTGATACAAACAGGGAACGCATTGAGCAAGCCAACATCAGAGCCAAGAAACTAATTGACAATTAAAGCCTGCTGTCATTGTTCAATGACACTGTCTCTCCAGCTGCAAGCCACCGTATTCATGGATCTGTGAAACTTCTATTCTGAAATAAGAGGGGCTGGGAAAAATGAAGCAGTACCCTTTCTATAGGGATTAATTTTCTTTTATTTTTTTATTGCTTCATGTAAACGTGGCCTTGACTCCAAGAAAGCAGCCAACATAACTTCCTCCTACTCATCTGCCTTCACTTTCTTTAAACTGCTCAGGGCTAAAAGTGTTATGGCTTTGAGAATCTTCTTGCATGTTTTATTCCCCCTCCCAGTCTTTTTTTCCTGCACCCAAAATACACTCCTTTACTGAAGTTGAACAAGCAGGGTAACCTGAATTCACAGTTGTGGAAAGTTGGAGAGGGCACTTTGCACTGTTTGAAATACCTCATGAGTGTCTTCACTAAAATAGGGACTTGGTGAATATTGTCTGACTTGTATTGCTAGCAGGCTAACCATAGTTTTGCAATCCAAACCATGTGATTGGTTTGGGGTTGAGTTTCTGGATTACAGAATTGAAGAGGCCCACTACTTATGGGTTGAGGGCTTTAAAACACTTTCTAAACACACGAACTTTAATGTAAAGGTAACTGGAGGGGTATACAGGTTTCCATTTCTTTACTATAAATTGACATTGGTCTGGTGGTCATGACTAGGAAATTATGCTGCATGGTTCTGATAATATTTGTTGTCTGTGTATATATACCTGATCTAAACTCCATGCACATGTGAGTGGAAGAAAATAAACTATCTCCCTAAAGTATTTATTTGATGGAAAATTTTACACCCCTCATTTGAAAGTTAACTTTTATGTGTTTGAATGATGCATCTTAACTGGAAGAAACTGGGTAGAAAAGCACGCAGCTTTCTTGCATCCCATATCAGATTCTATTCTGGCCAGTTTTCACTGGAGTTCAGTTTATGCCTTTTTCCAGTGCAAAATAATGACTGATCTGGTACAGAGTTTGTTCTCAGCAGTGACTTTTGGGGGAGCTTCTTAAAACTACTGAAAACAGAGAAGCTTATTATGAAACTTCTTTGTCGCAAGTCTGGAAGAAGCAGTACCTCTTTAAGAACTGTATGCTAGTTCTAAATAAACTAGTTCTAAATAGATTCCTGACTGGTTTATTATTGCAGACTTTGGGACTGGCAATTGGAACTATTACATGTCCAAGTTGCTTGTTCGTGTTCTGTTGCGGAATAGAGGAGTTTCTGACCAGGTGAGGTAAAGCTCTCTTCCTATGAAGAGGAAAAACATTTTAGTTTTACTGTAATAAAATCAGATTTATTGCCAGGATTTTCTTGAATTTTTTTTGGCAAGTAAATTGCAAGTGACTTGTATAATTTTAACTCCACCCAGCAATGGATTATGCATGTTTTAAAGGTGGAAATGATGCTTTGGACTAATTTGTGATACTCAATGTTGGATGGCAAAAATTTTCAAACCAAATTGGTTGGAGGAATAATTAAAACATTAAAGCATTATGGGGTGTTTTTTTGGAAGGACAGTCAAGTATCCTGTAGCCATTTAAAATAAATCCCAGAGCTAGAGAGGTGACACTAATCTGCTGAAATGTAAGACGAAGTGTTCAGTGTTTTGTTTTGTTTGTCCCCCTCCCCCCCCCCCAAAAAAAAGACCAAAGGATGGAGCTGCTGCATGTAATAAATAGGCCAGTGGTAGACTGTCTTATGTGAATAAGGTAAAGCCCTTTTTAGGGAAAGCCCTTTTTAGGGGACTGGATACTTCAGTAGAGCATGTTGGCTTCTGTCTGGCTTCCAGTAATTGTTGGAAGGCTAATGAATTTTAAAAGTTCATTATCTACCCCATTAGTAACAAAAATTATGTGCTTAAAAACACAAGTAGCAAAGAAATACTTCTAAGAACATTGCATAGTTAATTTCTAACATGGGAAGGCATAGGGGATTTGTGTGCTTTTTTTTTTTTTCCTTCTTTCAAACTTCAGGTTAGCTGGAGGAGTATTTGCTGCTGGTTGTGAAAGCAAAGCATACATTATTTAATTATGATTGTCTCCTGAAACAGCAGACTAAAGCAGTTACCTTATTCTTCTTACAACAGTGCAAACCTGCTCTGTAGCATCTGGGCATTCCAAACATAGGAATGTTTTCCTTCCTTGCCATTACCAGTCCTGTTCTTGGCTTCCCTGAGCTGCAACAACAAATTAGCATGTTGGCTGAGAGAATGCTGTGATTGGTATATCAGAATTGTAACATTGCAATGAATATCACACAAGGGAATAATTTCTGAGACTCTAAGCTTGAGTATTAGCAGGATATCAATACTATTTTCTGATGCAGGAAGAGCCAAATCCGTGAGGGAGTTGGTGCCTTTATCTTCGTGAACAATGCAGGCTGCTTCTTGGATGGTCTATAGAATAGATGCTTAATTTCCATGTCTGTGGGATGGAATCAGCACTTGTACATCTTTCTATTTCTGAATGCTATTAAGAATGAAGGTTTACAGTTTCTGCTTTTGATTGTTAAACTATATATTGTACACAAAAAATACATACTTTTATAACTGAATGTGTTTTAAAACTATTTTCTCTTGGAAATGTCTTTGTTTAGTTTCCTGTCCTTGAAAAACTTGGCAGAACTAGTTGCTACTATGCAACTAGGAAGTCTCCCTTCTATTTTTATTTCGCAGAAATCCAAATGTTAACAATGGAATGGGTGTAGTTTGGAAGAGAGGAATATTTTGATTTTTTTTTAACACTCTAGTTCTCATCTTTGCATAATCAACATCACCTAACTTCAAACTATGAAATGTGTCCATATCTTTGAAAGAAAGACTGCAATTTAGCATGGGACTATACTTCAGGATGATAAAGGAACTAAGCAGAATAAAACTCTCCTGTGAAGTATTGGTAACAAATGCCTAGCAAATACCTAGTCCAATAGGTGAAATCTAGTGATTTAACCTACTGCCACTGCAAATTCACTTGCGAAGCAATTTAGAATTGTATTTTCTCTGATGCTCGAGCCTCAGATTCCCAGAGTGCTCTTTGAGGGGAGGAGGTGGGGGGGGAAATACAGATTTGTGGTGACTTGCAGCAGTTTTGAGCTGTAGGAGAACAGCACATCTGGGAATGGCTTGGAAGCAGTACTTCTGCTACTGTGGGGCTGCCTAGCATACTTCTACCACTAACTAGGGGAAAAAAAATTAGGGACAGCCTGCTTGTGTAACCATTCTGAGCATGCAGCATGTCTCATAGGTCCACTTAAACCATGATAGTTTGGTAAATTCAAGCTAGCCTACTCCTTGAGCGATGAGTTAAGCCTCTCAACACAGGGGTAGCTATAGTATGAACAGCAGCCCACGCTGCTTGTGCAGTAACTTGCACAACTCTCTCCTCTGTGAAGCGTATCTTACTCCAATGGAAGATTAGAGAGCAAGTTAAGTAGGTCTGACACAAAATACATGAATGTTTTTTTTTATACTGTTAACTAGGGTAATATTTTCTGTCTTGATAATTCCAAAACTAAAAAGCTGCAAGTATAATTGTGCATGGAAATACAATTGTTTTATAGTGTCACTTGTAGAGGGGGTGTGGTGAGAAGGAAAAACTGAGAAACGCACAATATAAAAGTACTAATACATTGTGTAGTGCTGGAATGTAGAGAACAGCGTTCTGCTAGGTGACTTAGTAACAGTTACTTATTGCTATGACCGAAGACAGGTAAGGGTGTCAGCCAGCTTTTTTTTTTTTTTTTTTTTTTTGAAACAGAAATACTCCTCTGTTCTGAAACAAATTTGGCTTGTCCAGGACTAACTCAGCACCATTCAGTATTTTGCATGGTGTTTTCTCCCTCTTGCTTGACAAAATTTTTGTCGTAACTCTAAGGTAGCAACGGAGCCTAATGGAGTAAGTGAAAGGTTTATAAATGTATAGATAAACAACAGAAATGTTGACTTACTATCTCAAATACTTCCAACAGCAGTAAGAATTTTTTTAATAGCAATGCTAACTTCATAATTTTTAAATGTTCTAATCTACTCTCTCTTCTTTGTTGAACAGACAGAAGAGTCCTGATAAACAAATGTTAACATGAAACAACATGTCTGAGCACAGAATATTTCCAGTTAAACAAACAAACACAAAAAAACCCAAACAAACCAACCAACCACAGCACAACATTGCCAAGTGTGTACGTACTGATGATAGACCACTCTTTTGTAGCTGCCAGAGTTGAGTTGCTCCTTTCTCATGCAAAGGGAGAATCTGCTAACTGAGGGGTTTTGTTCGGTGGGTGTCTCTTGTATGTCACATCTCTAGGAAAAAAAGCTAACACTTCAAATCGGATTTAAGTATTAAATGGAAGAAGCTGAACTTAAAACAAGCCTGGGGCTTTAAGCTACTCACTGCTGAATTTTTACATGTCAATCTGTGGAGTGCATTAGTATGAAGCTGAATAGATTTCTGACTATACAGGGCCTTGCATTATGGTAACGTACAGGTTGTGTTCTTAAAGCACTCCCCTAGTTATGTCTTGCAAAACAAAGTACCCTGGTAAACATTGTCTGCTGTCAGCTACTTCTTACAGGAAAATAGTTTTTCCATAAAGTAACACCTGGAATGGGGGTTTTTAAGTAAAACTGGTTCCCTGTTTAATGATGGATCTCATCCATCCTTTGAATAAGGAGCTGATGTTCCCTAAAACACTCTTAGAGTGGGTATTGCTATGTAAGAATTGAAATAAGACATCAACAGGGTCGGGGAACTAGATACCTCTTCTGAGCATCTTGGAAAAGAACTGCTTATTGCTAATCTTAATTATAGTTATTATGTTGAGTAAAAAGACTGGCACAGAGGTCACTTCATTTTTCCTAGTTGCAGATGGCATAAGACATGGAATACACTTGATGATTACACCAGCAACTTTAATGAGTTTGCTGTCTAAATGCCTTTCTTGTCTCATGTAGGAAAGCTGAAGTATAAAACTAGTTAATGTATGGTTAACTGTAGTCTCATGAGGAACAGATGCTTCCATGCATATCTTGCCAAGAAGTGTACTTAGTACAGCTCCTACTTCACTGTTTGAGCATGCAATACATATTAACTGAATTGCTACCAAAGTGTTGAAATATTCAAATCCTCTGCATTCTCAAAGCAGTTGAAGTATAGCTGTTACCAACAACTGCTGGAACCAAGTACCTAAGTGACAGCTTTCAGTGATAGCTTAGTGTCGCTTTAACAAGAGGTAACAGTAGCAGTTACACCAAATAAACTTGAACTGATTTTTTTTTTAATTATTTACTAAAATAAACAAGTACATTTTCCTTTTCAGTATAAGTTACATAATTGCATACATTTTTACCTCTTTCTAGGTGCTTCTGGTAATAAGGCAGCAGCAGTAGGCTGATAACTAAAACTTTCAGCATTGCTCTGTACACAAGGAGTCAGTGCAAGAATATAATATTTTCCAGCAATACACGTTTTTACTGAATACATTGAAGGTGAACCTCATTTTTATTTGATACAGCTCAAGCAGAAGTGGACTGTAGTGCAATTCTTGCTTATGGGAAAAGAAAGCCTGTACAGTAAAATATGAATGAAGGATGCTCAAACCATGATTTGTTTACTGGAAGTGGTTAATAAAACACTTAGCCACAAGTATTTGTG